CTCTGTGGCGTCCACGCTGGCTAAACTTTTATTGACATGGCAATTTTACGTGGTGCAAGCTGGCGGCGGCGACGGGGCGGCAAGGGCCGGCAACGTGGCGAAGTTTCTCGCGACCCACCTAGCAATCGAGGCGGCAACGACGCGGCAGCGAGGCGGAAACGGGCAGCAGCGTGGCGAAACTTCGTCAGGCCGCCCATCGAATTCCTTAGTAAACGAAGTCAGGTCTCCTAAGTGCACGGACTGTTTGGGGAATTGCCTTTATTGGGTTTGGCCAGATAAGGGTTAGCCAGGATGCTTGGCCAGGATTGGTTGTGGTCGGAGGGACGGTCGGGCAGGATAGTTCTCTCCATCGTAAATGATACCCCCTTCCTCCCACGTGTGGGTTTATGTTCCTCCGCCGATTCCTCTTCCTTGCGTCGCTCTCTTATCACTCCCGCAACTCATGCCGTCAGAGTTTGTACGGTTATCTACTATCTACAGTATCCTCTTCCTCCTTCTCCTCCTCCTCCTCTTCGTCCTTCTCCTGTTCCTTCTCCTTCTCCTCCTCCTCCTCCTCCTCCTCCTCCTCTTCCCTCTTCTCTTCACCCTCTGCCTACTGCAGCAAGGACCGGTTCGGGTCGGTTCGGGCCCGCTCGGCGGCGGGCCAGGTCGGCTGCGCCAGTTCGATTTCGGCGGCGGGCCAGTTCCATAAGGTTTCGGTCTGGTCGTTCGGGCTGGCTCTGTCGGTCGGGCTCGGCGGCCGCAGCGCCGTCTTGTTTCGGGCGCGCCTGTTCGGCGGAAGCGAGCTGCTGAACGTCGCTGTCGCTGCCGTTGCCGCGCCCGCTGGACGCGAAACGTTCGAGGAGTGCCTCGGTTTCGGTAGTACTGGCATCGAGGCTTTCCCCGAACGTTTTGCGCTGCCCGACGAGTGCGTCACTGCCTTGGGGACGGCAGCCGTTGTGAAGGGAACCGTATTTTCGACATGCTCGACATCTGGCACGCGCCCTCGTCCCTCCCTGGCCCCTCCGTCCACCAGCCGCAAGAGAGAGGCTGAGGCATTCCGGATTGTCCCTTCCAGCTGCTGGTGCAACTCAGCGCCCGTCCAACGGGCTCCAAATGTCGCCTCCAGTCTCATGCCCGCGCGTGGCATCTGCCCAATTTCGCTCACAAGCAGGCCTCCCCCCCCCCAGCTGTGTAACCTCTCCTTTTTCCTTCGTTCGCTGTGCAGTGCGTGGTGCACGTCTGGCAGGCTCGGGAGGGTTCAGTGCTGTCGCGCGTGTAGTGCCCATCGATGTGACTGAATCAGTCGCTTGGTTGTTTTCCCAGCCTTTGAACCTCTTCTCCTCCATTCCCCGCCCGCCCGAAATTCCAATCCAGTGTATGGCAACACCGCGTCTGCGTGTGGCGCCACTTCATGCCTCATGATGCCTTTATCCCTGCAGCTCTCGCTTCGCCTTCGACATCTATAGCAAAGCTTGCGACGGCGAGCAGCAAGCACCGTTATCATTCCAGCTGAGGTGCGAAGCATCAGATGACAGGATACGCGTCCTTCCTGGTAGGGCGATGGTGTCCGAATCTGGCCGTGGAGTGCAGGATAGCCCTCTTGAAGGATAGTGGTATTTACCCTTTGTTGGCGAGTGTTCCTCCTCGTCGGTCGGTCGGTCGATCGGAGGACGAGTCGAAACCTAGCCACAAGGTGATACGAGAGAGCCAAGATGCGGCGGCAGCAGCAGCGACGGCGTTCGGCGACGGGCGGCTCCTGCCCGCGCCAGGAGGTGCATGTGGTGCTGCGAGAGCAGCTCCACAAAACACTCAAGCAATACATCGGGCTCAGGAAATCACGTTTACGGGTGAAAAGAAGAGCCCTCCCCCCTGAGCAGTTCCAATTTACTATCAAGAGACGAGCATCTAACAGCAGTGTGCACCCGATGCTTACTGCTTTTGAACGTGGGCGTGCGCTGGCGTCCCTCGCGAGGGCGGCAACCATTCAGCAGCGGGTTCCTGCACTCGGAGGAGCTCAGCAGGCAGAGCGTTCGGACCTGCGAGAATGGCTCCCGTCACAAAGCCCCTTGCCAGGGAGACTGTCGAGCCATTGGTGGAGGGGCAGCACATGCACGGCCATGAAAGTGGTGGGCTTCAGGTCCTGCCCCCGAACTGGCACTGGTTGATGCTTGGGCCTGAACATGTGCAGACCCGCTGGCAGCTTCCTGGGCTGCAACTGCCGCGGCAGGAAGCCACAGCGGCTCTGCCTCTGCTCCTGCCGTTGAGCTCCCCGCTGCCGTGCTCGAGCCCGGGCTGGCAGGGCTGCCGGTGGTGTCCTGGATCTTCGTGGCGAGCTGGCCTCGCTGCATCAGGGTGCTGTCGGTCGTGTTGGCCTTGGTGATGACTCCCTGCATCCTCGCGAGGATGCGACTGTCCTGCCGCCTGAGTCTCCTGCGGCGGTGGGCGGCGGTGGCTGGGCCGTGCAGGGCGGCGGCGTTGGCGCAGCCAGCAGCTCGGGTGCCGCTGCTCGTCGCGGGCGCTCCCGGCATCGGGCCGGCCATGGCTGCCGCAGGCTCAGGCTCCGATCGGCGTGCCAGCTCTCGCACGGGCAGCTGCCTCTGGAGCGCCTGATGTCGCCGCCGCGCCAGCCCAGGCCACGCCGCACGGAGGCTCTTGCCACTCCGAGTCAGCCATAGGATCGTCCTCGTCATCCTTCATCTCGTGCTGTTCTGGCAGCTTGGCCTCCTGAGTGTGGGGCTGGACCTGGTCCAAGGCGTGCATGCGGCTCTTCTCCTCCTCGGCCATCCGGGCTGCGTGCTCTCTCATGGCACGGGGCCCCACAGAAAGCTGCCCTTTCCGAGCGCGCAGCTGGCCGAGCTGAGCGGATGCCTTGGCCGCGAGTTGGATCATGCACTTCAGGACTAAGGGGGCCACGTGCGAGCCCTACCCCCTGCCCCCCACGATTTTGAGGGGGAGGGTGGGGTTCGTTCACCTCGTTCGGGAGCTCCCGAGCGAAGTGAACCCCACCCTCCCCCTCAGAGAATCGTGGCGGGCAGGGGGTAGGGCTCGCACGTGGTCTCCCAGGGCTGCTCAGCTCCACCGGTGTGCCCTCTGCGCTCCTGCCCGCCTCCGTTTTTTGTCGGCAGCAGGAGGCGCCAATTTGGTGGCGCGCACACTCTTGTCCGGAGGTCCTTCACCGCCTCGGCGTCCTGTGCGGGTGGGGAGCTACAGGCTTCGGAACAAATTAGCGAACACATGCCACATTCATCCGTCAACGCCTCCCCCTCCCCCCAATGTTCAAAGTTGGCGGTGGGTGTGATGAGTTGCACCTCGACCGCACTCTCCCCCGCGCGTGCCAACCTTGAGTTTGGGGGGCAGGGGGGGTGTTCACTAATTGTTTCCCTCTACCGTATCCGGGAACTTGTGGAGCCCACTTGTGCCGTCCAAAGCCCGGATAGCAGGGCGCCCGAAGGGAGTGGAAAAGGCCTGGGGAGGTACAGGCGAGAACGCCAGAAGACATGCCTGGGGAGCTGCGAGCTAGGAAAACGCCTGTGGGAGACGCTTGCCAGGGCGCTCCTTGGAACCAACGTGCCTGCCACGGCTGCGGATGGGTGATCCCACGTCCCGTTATGGGCATGACACTGGCGATGAAGGCGCATGGCTGACGGGCTCGTGCCAGTCCTTCACCCTTGCCCTTGCCTTTGCCCTTCTGGGCGCCTTTGAGGCTCGACCTCGGCCTAGACAAGCTTCCAGGGCGGATGCCAGGACCATGACCGGGAACATAGCCGTTGTGAAAGTGCTGACCGCACAGCCACTTCCAATGATGGCCTTTCACCGTCCTCGCGCCATTGATGTATCTCCATGAGCCTCCCGGGCACGATCCCAGGGCTGGACCTAAACGCTGTTTTGCTGGACTTCGGCTGTGTTCTGTTTTTCGTTTTGGCAGGGAGGTACGGAACACAGGTGGAGCAAAACGAAAACATAACGAACACAAAACGAAAAACAACGCTTGGGTCCAGCCCTGCACCCTGCGCGATCCTTCACTTCTTGTGGCTGGTGGCCCCCCCCTCTCTCGAGCGAAAGGATGAGACGGAAGAGGCACGCGAGCCGCCTCCGTCAGTCTCGGGAGCAGGCGGGCCCCTGCGCGGGCCTGCCTCTGAGCCTCCTGTGCCGGGTTTCCTCCTTCAGCAGCCGGTCCGATTGGGCTTCGCCCCTCAGGGGTTCTCCCCGGTCCCCCAGTCCATCCCGCTTCCCACCCGTCCACTGCCATTTGGGGGCTCGTCAAGGGGGCGCTTCGGTTCTGCGGCCCCGCCCTTCCCCGCCCTTGTGGCCGACAGAACGTCGCGCCTCCGCCCGTTAGGGGGGGGGGCTGTCTGGGCCCCGCCCGGCGCACGACTGGAGGGCGTGGTTCCCAGCGTGGGTGGGTGGGTGGGTTTCCTCTGGATGGGTGGTGCGGGCGGAACGTCTTTCTGCCGTGATGACGAGATGCGAGTTGCAGAGAAGGAGACAGATGTGCGGACGTGACATGTAGTCGCGGCGAACACGCCTCCGAATATCAGAGAGCTGCTCTACCTGGCCTGGCCACCTTCCAAGTACAAAACAAAAACATGTCTCTGGTGCCTGGCCAGGCCCTGGAGCTCAAACCTCCTCCTCCTGCTCCTCCTTCTCCTTCTCCTTCTCCTTCTCCTTCTCCTTCTCCTTCTCCTTCTCCTTCTCCTTCTCCTTCTCCTTCTCCTTCTCCTTCTCCTTCTCCTCCTCCCCCTCCCCCTCCTCCTCCTCCTCCTCCTCCTCCTCCTCCCGTCCCCCCTTCCTCCACCTCATTCTCCCCACCTCCTCCCCCTCCCCCCCTCTTTCTCCACCTCCTCGTAGCCCTTCCTTTCCTCCTCCTCCTCCTTCTTTTGATCTTCCATGCCTCTCTCCCTGCTCCTCCTCCTCCTGCTCATCCTCCTCCTCGTCCTTCCTCTCTTCCTCCTCCTCCTGCTCCTCTCCGTCCTCCCTGCATTCTTCCCTTTCCATCCATTTTCTTGCTGCTCCTGCCGATGCGGCTGCTCTCCGGCCGCTCCTCGGTGATCGGGGAACTGCTGCGGAACACCGGCGACTTCATGCGCTCGCGCTGCGAGGAGACCTGCAAGACGGTGTTCGCCTACCGCTCGCACAGGCCCCGGGGCAGCGCATGGTTTTTGTTGTGGTTTTCCCGGGCCCAAGGGGGGCGCCAGCGTAGAAAACAATGTTGTAATCAACTATATCATTGAGAACCGCTTAATCCCCCCCTCAGGGAGGGTTTTGCTCCCCCCCCCTGGAAAACCTTAAGGACGCGGCGTGGAGGGGAGGAATGTGTTCTGGTCTATCCTGTCAGCTGGCGTGTGTGCCTGGTGCGGGGCTGCGCACGCTTTAATCGAACAGGTCAGGCCTCGGGAAATTTGCCACTGCTCTCAGGTGGGAGGCCTCGGCTCAACCGTGAGACCGCATCCTTCTCTGCTTTCGAGGAGCGTGTGCACTGATTCTTCAGATCTCTTGGGAACTCAAGACTGTGTCTGTCGGTCACAAGCCATAGCCCAATGCAAGGTGGTGGCTGTCATGGCAAAACTCAGCGCAAGGACGATCAAAGGCAGCCTCCTCTCCACCCCAAACCGCCCTTCTTGGTGGGCCTTGGACATCAGGCTCGCGGAGCAGGTGCCGGCCTCGGGGGTGACGGTTCACGAGGCGGTATTCGTGGCACGTTCTGTCCCACCAGCGCTCCGGGCTTGCAGCGGCAGGGCCAGAACTCTCCAAGCATCCCTTTCTTCAATAAGGAGTGGTGACCGAAAAAACATTTGAGGACGGAGGAGTTAGTAGTGACACGGTGTACCGAGCCCTGGAGGCGAGCGCAGCGTTTTTCAACTAGCGTTCGTTTGCGGGTCATCCCTTTATTCGTATCCTCATGCCACCCACGCTGGCATTTCAGACAGTACACCACGTTGAACAACAAACACGCGATTCGAGAGAAATCGTCACTAATCATCCGCCTCCAAGGTTCTCTGAACTACATCATGTGGGGCATCAGCAAACTATTAGCCAGCGTGGGCACCAAACACGGATTTCTTGCAATCTCTGCGGTGCAATCTAGGTAGTACAACCAATGTGATGCAATCTATGTGGCGCAATCCATGTGGTGCAGTTGCTGTGGCGCGAGGCAACGCAAAGCAACGCAACGCAATGCCAATCACTGCAACGCAATGCCAACAAATGCAAAGGAATGCAACGCAACGCAACTCAATCCAACACACTACAACTCAATGTCGAACTCCACAATGCAACGCAACGCAACGCAAAGCAACTCAATGCAATCAATGCAATACACAGCGATGCAAAACAATGCATATCAACGCCGCACAACGCACTGCAACGCAATGCAGAACGATGCAAAGCAACACAGTGCAAGTCGATGCAAGCGCAATGCAAAGCGATGCCACACCATACCGAACAACGCAAAGCAACGCAGCGCAAAGCAGTGGGAAGCATCGCGAAGCTTATGCAGAGCAACGCACAGCAGTGCACAGCAGTGACAAGCAGTGCAGAGCAGTGCAGGGCACTGCGAAGCAGCGCAGCACACTGCGAAGCAATGCGAAGCAGTGCGAAGCAGTGCCAAGCGGGCGGCGACGCGGCGGCGCGGCGGCGACGATGCGGCTGGAGGGTTCCTCCGAAGGGCTTGGGCGACCCGTCCTCCGCCTCCTCCCTCCCTCCCCTCCCTTCCTCCCTCCCTCCCTTCCTCCCTCCCTCCCTCCTCCTCTTCCTCCTCCTCCTCCTCCTCCTCCTCCTCCTCCTCCTCCTCCTCCGGTCGCCTACGGCCCCGGGGGGAAGCCGTCCAGAGGCGGCGAGGAGGCGTCCCGACGGCGACCACGCAGCCGCCGGAGCGTCGCGCATAGGCCCAGGCGCCGGGCGGCGACGAAGGGCGGCGACGGGACAGCGACGGCGGCCACATAGCCGCCAGACCGCCGCGCAGACCCAGTTCCTCAGGAGCGAAACAAGGACGTACATGTACATGAATCCACGCTGGTTTCGAGAGCACGCATTGCACAAATGTTGTTATAACGCGGCGGGTCTCGCGAATCGAGGGGCCGTGTTCATGTACATAGCTGGGCGCGTACGTCCTTTGTGGGCTCCCTAGTTCCTCAGGCAAGAAGCAAGAGGCCCTGAGTGCAAGCACCGCGTTGGGGAGTGGCTAGCGCTTTTCCTGTGGAGAAGTCGGCGGCCTTCTCCAAATGCAGCTCAACATCACTCAAATCCATGTTCTGAAGCTGGGCCTGGTGTGGGTGTCCTTTCGTCCACCGAACGGCTGTAGAGCCGCTTCGGACCTTAAGAACTTCATGATATGTAGCCCACAGATACGGCTTTTTTGGTACGTAGATGCTTATGGGATGTTTTCATTGCACCCATATGACCAGAACGAACGAGGCTATTTCCAGTGGCTGTGGTTGCAAATTTAACCAACGCGTGCAATTCAGTTCGTCCAGCGCTCTGCAAATTTAGTTGGACAAGTAAGCTGGCAAGTCCGTCAAAGAGTCCGTGCGCGGCTACATGAACGACACAGCCCAACCACATCAACGCAATCTCCAATCAGTGTGAATTGGACTCCAGATCCGTCGGTACCCCAGACGCCCCCACGGATGTTGGCTCCCCCAAGGAGCCTGCCCCCATTTCCAAAAGAGCCAGGTGGGGGCTTGAAGGTGACCGGCAGAGTCCTGAAGGGGGGGGGGCCCACGCAGCCAGCGGGAAGCACGCTCAGGTTGACTCATGGACTTCAGAGTCAGGTGGTTCGATTTCTTGATCGCACTGTTCATGGCGCCAACATCGCAGAGCGGATTTCGTTCGGAAAACGAAAGGATGGGCCTGGAGTGTCCTGGAGAATTTCGTTCCAGATTTCGAGGTGAATTTCGCGCGGATTTTTTAGACCAGGAATGAAGACCCCCCCAAATCCACGCAAAATTCACTTCGTTTTCGGGTGCGAAGTCCACGCAAAGATCCGCTGCAGCACGTCTGCAAGGTCGGTGCAGCGACACTGTCAGGCAGGTCGACGTCGCCCATTTTCAAGTCTGCGGGCGCAAGCGAGCCGAAGTAGGGGGCCACATGCGAACCCTACCCCTACCCCCGACGATTTCTCAGGGGGAGGGTGGGGTTCACTTCGTTCGGGAGCTCCCGAGCGAAGTGAACCCTTCCCTCCCCCTCAGAAATCGTGGCGGGTAGGGGTAGGGTTCGCATGTGGCCCTCTACGAAGCGGGTGCAGGCGCCGGTCGGGCTGCGGGCGGGAGACGCGCTGGAAGCGAGTGGGGGCGTGGAGGCCCGGAGACCCTGGTGAGGCAGAAGGGCGGCCGGGAGGAGGAGCCGTCCCAGCATGGCCATGCCAGGGGGAAGGCAGGCTTTGGAACGGCGCGGAGTGCGACGGCCCAGGGCAAATGGCCGAAGCCAGGGCGCGAGGGACGAAGGGAGAGCGCACCAAGCCAGGCAGACTGGGCTCCGTTGCAAAGGCCCCCTGCCGGCCAGCACCGGGGAGGCCCCCTGCCGAGCTGCGAGGGCGGAACACGGGCAGCGCAGCGCGGGAGCGGGAGCAGGCGCGGGCGGGCCGGAGCTTGGGGGGTCCAGCACCATGGCGGCACGGGCCAGGGGAGGGGGGTGAATGTCCACCACATTTCGTGGCTTGAGTTCTCCTCCCACACCTTTTTTTTGCGAGATTGGGTCCGCGACAGCGGCTTGACGCACGCGTTCGGTCACCCACGCGTGGTCCACATTTACTGGATTTAGTTTTTAGTGCGCAAATCTCGATTCATTCGCGCCCAATCTTCTGCACTACCGTAATGCCACTCCACACGCTCGAAGGAAAGAGGAGGACGAGGGAGGCGAAGGGACAAACGACGGTGATCTGACAATTCACTTAAAACTTCGATTGTTGGGGGGGAGGGCAAGCTAGGTTCGTTCGCGTCGTATCTGGCGTCCTACCCCTCCCTCCCATCCCTATCCATGGCGTAGAGCTCCTCTCGATTCGCACATTCGGAGAATCTCAGCGCGAAGGGGGAGAGGAGGTGGGGGGAAGATGGACGAAGGGCGAGAAGACCATACGGCGCGTGGGAAAGCTCGGGCAGCCAGGTGACCAGGCGACCAGGAGGGGGGGGGGCGCCACACGTCCGACCACCACAGGGGGAACGCGGAGCTCGTGCAGAGCCGCACCGCGAGGGGCACGCGACCCGGCGGGAGTCTGTGCGGGCAGCGTGGGGGCGCCCGCGGGCCCCATGGGGGTCGGCGGGCGCGTACCGATCGTCGCAGCGGGCCCTCCCGTGAAGCAGCGGCGAACCGTCCTGGCTCGCCCACGGGCCCACCAAAGGAAGTTCTAAGGACCTTTGTGTGGTCTCAACAGGTGTTCTGAGAGCATCGCTGGCTGGGACCGTCCCGTTTTCAGCACATGGGGCTTATGCTCTGAGAACATTGCTCTTGTTCCTGGAGCAGTCTTGGGTTCTGAGAAATGTCGTGGTAGGCCTACAGGAATGCCGGGACGGTCGGTCCCTGCTCAGCTCTCGTTGTTCCTCTGTGGTCCCCTCGGGTCTCGTGGTTACCTGCCCTGGGCACCCCAGGCCGCACCCTTGCCCGGGCCCTTCCCGGGCGGCGCTCTCTCTGCTGGTGGCTCTGTCCTCCGCTGCCCTGCGGGCGGCTTCCCAGCCCACCCGGATGCTCTTGCGCTGCGCCCGCGCGCATGCAGCCCCCAAATCGGTAGGCAGGGGTCCCTGAGATGGCAGTCGAAGAAGAGCAAGCCACATGAACCTTTTGGCGCTCCGCGCAGATTTCTTGGATCCGCGTTGGGTCCCCCCGGGGGCGCCTCCGCCGCCGCCCCTGGCGCGCTCCGCGCGCCGGCGAGGGGGGTCCGGAGGCGCTCCGCACGCCAGGGAGGGGGGGGGGGGTATGTTTATGTCTTTTCTTCTCTTAAGATTGCAACGCATCTAGGGCACAGGCCTCTGGTGCAGGATTCGTACCCAGCCTGGGCGAGTCGGTCCTCGGTCCAGAATCCAGAGGTCAGAGCACTACGTAACATGTCACCAGCTTCGAGTGAGCATTCTTTGTTGACTTTGTTCAACACTTTCTGAATCACCGTGAAATCCACTACTCCTAAGTTTGGTCCGAGGTACTCGCCAGTGACAGCCGACCAGGAGAGTTCGCCACAATGTCTGTGAAGCACTTGCCAAAGTGCGTGAGGAAGAATCAGCGTCAGAACTACGAATCTCCGTCCCGTCTTTGAAGCGCCACAAGACGGGGCTGATGGGCTCAACCTGGGGGTCTCACAACGCAGCAACCGTGGCAGCAATGTGACCGCGGACTCTTTTCCACCGGTGTTTGGCGCCACGGAAACGATCACGAGCATTAGCCTTGCGCAGCATCAGCAACGGTAGATAGCTGTTCATGGAGAAGCCTGATCTGGGGCCATCAGTGGCAGCATTTGCCAGAGCCAAGACGGACGTGGTACAAGCTCGGAGGAGGAGGAGGAGGATAAACAGGAACAGGATCAGCAGCACGAGGAGGAGGAAGAGGAGGAGCAGGAAGAGGAGGAGGAGGAGGAGGAGGAGAAGGAGGAAGAAGGAGGAAGGAGGAGGAGGAGGAGGAGGAGGAGGAGGAGAGCAGGAGGAGGAGGAGGGGAGGAGGAGGAGGAGGAGGGAGGGAGGGAGGGAGGGAGGGAGGGAGGGAGGGAGGGAGGGAGGAGGAGGAGGAGGAGGAGGAGGAGAGGGAGGAGGAGGAGAAGAAGGAGGAGGAGGAGAGCAGGAGGAGGAGGAGAAGAAGGAGGAAGAGGACTGGAGGAGCAGGAGGAGGGGAAACCGGAGGAGGAGGATGATGATGAGGAGGAGGAGGAGGAGGAGGAGGAGGAGGAGGAGGAGGAGGAGGGGGAGGAAGAGGAGGAGGAGGGAAGCGGAGGAGGAGAAGGAGGAGGAGGAGGAGGAGGAGGACACCTTTTTACTGCGAGAGGTAGTTAGGTGCCGCGCTCACCCAGCGCCCTTCCCATTATTGCGAGAGTTGGTTGCGTGCCGCGCGCACCCGCGCGATATGTACCGACCTCCTGCTCCTGCTTCCTCTCCCTCCTCTTCTCCTCGCCAGCACTGACCTCCCTGCTCGCCCTTTGCTCTTTCCCGGAGCGAGGCACCTGCTCGTGCAGAAGGCGGCCATCCAATTGCTGCCCCAGCTCGCGCTCTTCTACCCCGACCACTTCACGCCATCGCCCGAGCTGCCTTCTCCCCACGGGATGACGAGGACAGGAGAAGGTGAGGGATCAGGAGGAGACATGATTAATCATGATCATGATCCAGGAGGAGGCAAGAGGAGTTTTGTGTGTGTGTGTGTGTGTGTGTGTGTGTGTGTGTGTGTGTGTGTGCGGGGTGGGGGGGGGGGGGGAAGACGAAGATGTGCGGGGAAGAAGGGTAGGGTGTTACGAAGGGTTGTTGGATAGTGATGACGATGATGCTGGGGAGAAAATGCTGGAGGAGGAGGGGGAGGAAGAGGAGGAGGAGGAGGAGGAGGAGGAGGAAGAGGATGAGAAGGGGAATGAGAAGGACAAACCAGAGGAGGAGGAGGATGATGATGATGAGGAGGAGGAGGAGGAAGACGAGGAATAAGAGGAGGAACATGCTAACCCCGAGACATAATGAGGATGTTGATAATGATAAGTTGAGTACTGATACGAGTATCAGTAATATGGCGATTAATAGCAATAAGAGGGTCATGATGAGAAGGAGGAGCTGGCTTCGCGGATGGACAGCGGGAGGCCCTGGAGTAGCTTGTGCGCGAGGTGTAGCAGCTGGACGCCGAGGCCAGTTCTGTTTACGTCGACGACACCTACGTGTCAGTGAAGGGCATCCTTGGATTTGACACGTTCGAGGCGCTGGCGAGAGCCCTCGCACCACTGGGGCTTGAGCTGAGCGCTCGCAAGACTCTAGTGCGGCCCCGCGCGCGATCCAGGCTGTTTTGACGGAGCTTGCGGGCCACTTCGTGCCCGTGGAACCTGCGCTGTGGGCCCACCGCGCCCCAGGGTACCCGCAGATGGACGCCAGTGTTGTTCTCCACCTCAGCGGAACCACTGCGGTTTGGACGAGGCTGGAGGCGCCTGGAGCAGCTTTGGGGCCGACTGCGGTAGCTGCAGCGGAGGAGCTGACAGGCTGCGTGCCTGAGCGGGTAACGCCAGCCAACACAACCTGCAGCTCGCGCTGGCAGCGGGCGACGAGATGTCCCGCTACGACGCCACGCTCCGCGCTTGCCGTGAGCCTGGCGGAACGACCGCTCGGGCCCGAGGCTTGCGACCTGCTGGGCTTGCCCGCGAGGCTTGGCGGCGCGAGGGCCCACATGCAGTGCGGCTGCGTACTAGGCGGCCTGGACGCAGGCGGTGAGCGAGGTGCAGCGCAGCCTGGGCACTGCCTCGCTTGAATACGCCCTTCAGACACCCCCGCACACGCGAGCGAAGCTCGAAGAGGCGCGACGCGGAGACGGACGTTCCCTGGTGGTGGACGTGTCGGTCCGCAACCCAGTGGCTGCCGAGGACGAGATGGCGCTGCGGGTCGTGGCCCGACGGCCAGGCGAGGCTACGCACAGGACCGAGCGCGTGAAACACGAGATGTATCCAGGGTAGTGCTTGGCTGCGTCCGCCCTGGAGAGCTCGGGCCTCCAGGGTGCCGAGGCGCGGCAGTGGCTGCTTGCGCAGGTGCGCGAGCTCCCCGGGGATACGCGAGATGGGGAGCCGGCACACGCCTGTGCAGCATGCAGCTACGCGCTGCAGCGCCAGGTGACGCGCGCCGCTGAACTGCGCTGGCGCGCGCGGGACGCCAGTCGCACTCCGCTGGCTAACGGGCCAAGGATGGCGCTTCGCTGGGCTACGGTCTGGCGCGCATTGCGCCGGGGCGGGGCGCCTAGCGCCTGGCGCGCGGCAGGCGTTGGCGGCTGGCTGCCGACGAAGGGTCGGGGCGCTGGGTTGGGGCCGGCGCTTGACTGCGGCGGGGGGCACTGTGCGGCGGCGCGGGCTGCCTGGTGCCCGCGGCCGGCTATGGCTTCCTGCTTGTCTCGGCCGCGTTCCCAGGTAAGCCCGTAAGCCCTACAGGGCCCAGCCGGCGCAATTCCTCCCCCCCCTCGGGCGGCCGTTGCTAGGTGACGGGGCATTCTGGCCAGGCGATTGCTCTTGAGGAGCTGGCGCCACGCGCTGCGGGATTGCGCAGGCACCAATTCACAGTACTTCTGGGTCCGCTGGAGGCGAGGGAGGGGAAGGATGATGAGCAGGAGGAGGAGGAGGAAGGAAAAGGAGGAGGAGGAGGAGGAGGAGAAGGAGGAGGAGGAGGAGGAAGAGGAAGTGGAGGAGGAGGAGGAGGAGGAGGAGAACTAGGAGGAGAAGGAGAAGCCGCCACCACTTTTCAATCAGGGAAGATTCTGGCGACCACAGCAGGCCTGGTGTCCTGGGCGAGCGTCGGGGCTAGAGGGGCGGAGCCGCCGCGGGATGGGGGCTACCGCCGCTGCCTGCTGGGTCTTGAGCCCTTCGCTGCAGACAGATGGCGATGGGCAAGATTATTGCGCTTGCGGCTGTGTTGACTGAGCGCCTCCTCGAACTGCAGAGCCTGCTGCCATGGCGGGCGCAGCTCCTGTCGCTGGCGATGAGTTTCGATCTGGCTGCGTTGCCGGGCACCCAGCTGTGGGCGGAGCCAGAGGTGGCCGTGACGGTGATCCGCACTTGCAGCCATGTGGCTGTCAACTGGGGCTGGAGGCGCGGGCTTTTCACAAACGAGAGCTCCGGGGTCACGATGTTCGTGTGCCGCAAGATTCAAAGAAGGGTATTCGTCAGATCTACAGCCCGCCAGCGGCTCTGGGCGCGACGGGCCGCGTGGGTCTGTTGAAGGTAGCGACGGCCAGCTCGCCACTGATGGTCTTCGGACTCTAACTATCTCTCCCCGTCTGGCGCATATGATCAGCGTCGCGTGGCCACGACGCGTATCTTAGGCTGGATTACCGGCCTGTAGCAGAAGGCTGGGAACTGCTACGCGCTGCTGGTGGTGGGGAATTTCAATGGTCAGGCCGGCCACGGCATCAATGATGAGGTTGCGCGAAGATTCGGGCGGCACCGAGCATCTCCGCACGTGCCGACGCTGTGATGGTGGGTGGACACGAACTTATTGACGGCGGCCAACGCTCACTACAGGCTGCCCGCCAGCTACTACGGGGAGACGAGCCAGGGCTGGATCGATCACGTTTGTGCCGCGACGACGGCCCTCCCCCTCGCCAATCCGATGAAGATGAGACCGGACCGCGTGCGCACCATGTCCCCGTTCCCTTGTGCTGAGCTGAAAACCGCCGCCCGATGATGTCCGGACTCGCAGCGCGAATCGGCAGGACATGCGGATGAGATGTATGACCAAGGGGGAGCGGCGCCGCAAGTTCTGCGCCAAGGTGGAGAAAGACTTGAAGGGTGTCGCAGCCGAGTTGGATGCTGCTGAGCTGGGCCCGACCCCCGAGGGCAATCGCCAAACGCTTGCGACGGCGATTCGGTCAACGGCGCAGGAGGTGTTTCCATTCAGTCTGCCGCTCGGGCACGAGTGCGACCGCTTGCCTAGACAGCGAGCGCGCGCCCTCTCGAATCGGGCACGAGCCGCGGCGGAGCTCGGCGACCTTCATTGTCGAGGTTGATAGGGCGAGCCGCGAGCGCGTAAAGGGCTTCGCCTCCGCGGGCTGGTGTCTGGACATGCTGCGGGGGCCTCGTCGCTGGCGGCCAGCTCGGCTCCTTCGCAGAGCCTCTATCCATCAGCTGGCGCCTCGCCGACCCCCGAGCAGAACTCCATGGCGATGAGACTGCTTCGCCTCGAGATCGCCGAAGCCAGACTTCGAAGGCGCACTGGGAGTGCAAGGAGCGACGGACACAACATCAGCAACAGCTCTTCTTGGAGCGCATAGAGGAGCTGAAGTAGGCATGGCGTGTTCGAGACTTCTCAAGGTTCCATGCGCCACGAGGGCGCATGGCTGGGCGGGGGCGAGGCCTGCAGAGGATGACGCGCCCGGCCGCGACGTGCGCGTCGGGGGCGAATGAGTGCAAGCAGGGGGTGGCCAATCCAGGGGTCGCATGAGGCATGGGGGCTACTGGGTCCACGTGGTAGCAGCAGCTGGAGAAGGCCGACGTGCGCGGGAGGTTCTTGCAAGCGCATGTCGCTGCGATCTCAGAGCAATGCAGAGTTGCGGCCAACGGGCCCTTCGGCGCAAGGCTGTTCCCGAATGGGGGGTTTGCGCTGAGGTGCTCGCGATCTGCCTTGCCCCCGACGGGGGGATCCACAGCGTCGGTGCGGTCGTCGGGCGCGCGGGCTCGGAGCTGCTACACATGCAAAACTTCGATCACTGCATGTGGGGCTTGCTCGAGGATGCGAGGGCCAAGTAGACCATCGCGCCGTAAGGGGGGCGCGAGCGAGCGGTGGGCCTTGACGAGGGCAGGGGCAGGGGTGGCGTGAAGGGCCAGCGCGCGACCCACCTGCGCGATCACTCCTCGCAGGCCTGGCACGAATGATTTCGGCGACGACCACTTCCAGGAGGGTGGCCTGAGTGGGCGCATGGGAGTCTACCTCGTCGCAGCCGCGAGGCCTCTCTCCTCGCCCTGCAATCGGGGCGCTGGCGGCTCCGCGATGCCGACGGGTCGGCGGCGCGGCAGAATTGGGGCGCAGCGGGGGCTGTCAACGCCATCGGTTGGGAACGCTGGTGGAAGCGCGCAGTCGGGCGAATTCGGAGCGCGGACAAGCCGGGCTTCGCGCGGCGGCTGAGAGACTTCAGCGTCTCGGTCACGGCGCCTGACGGCGCGATCGAGTTCGCGCAGAACGAAAGGGGGGGGGGGGGGGGCGGGGGGCATGGGGGGCAGCATCGCGCAGCGGGGCTCCGTCGCTAGGTATTCGGTGGCGGCCGAGGACGCCTCCGTGGGTGTGGGTCTTCAGTAGCAGGGGGGCAGCTGCAGGTGGTTGGAGACGACGATCCTTGATCGAGGGGAGGTCTTCGATTTGGGGGCAGCGGTTTTCGTGGGCGACATCGCTGGGCTTGCGCCGAGCCCGACCCGCGCGACGAGCAAGGGCATCGTAGCAGGGCTCAGCAGGACCACGGAGACGGTGAACGACGCGGAGAGCGCGCAGGGTGGAGGACCCAATGAGGACAAGACGGCATGCGCGCTTGGGCTGCGAGGGCATGGGGTGAAGGGCGCGGTGGCTCGGGGCGCGCGCTTGCTCGGCCCCCTCGTCGCGGCGGACCTCGCGGCGCGCGACGAGATCAGGGCGCGCGTCTTGGCGGCGAAGAGGGGGTGGTGCCACGCTGGCTCGACTTGGTTTCGCGAGGTGCACTTGAAGTGTGCCGGATTGCAGTTCATCAGCTACGTTTACGATGCCGCCCTCTCCGCGCTGCGCGCGCTGATCGTGGCGCCCAGCCAGGTCGAGAGGCTCACCGCTGCGCTCGCGAAGCTGCTCCGTTCGCTGCTGGGTGGCAGGTTCGCGGAGTGGAGGAACGACGGCAGCGCCGGGGCGCTCGCCGACGACTGGGTCTGACCCCGCGGGGAGCTGGCCAAGCGCCTGAGGTCGAACTGCGATTGCGGCGTCTCCGTCTGTTCCACTGGATGCGGAGGCTGCCTGGTGCGCGCCAGAAGCTACTAGCGGCCGTCGGTGGGCAGTGCAGGTTCGAGGGGCGCTTGGGCGACGACGGCCGGGCGATCTCGACCTCTACGCCATGGTGACGGCAGCTCGCGGAGGATTCGAGGGAGACGGGCAAGGACAGCGGGGGCTGCCGCGGGATGTTGAAGGACATAGCGGAGACAAGCCGCCACTCGCCCCGAGCGGCGGCGACCGCGACGGCGACGGCCACGGCGTCGACGGGCGGCACCGCTCGTAAAAACCGCCATTCACCCCGAGGTTTTTCAGCCAAGCAAGAACCCCTGAAGTGCAAACGCTGTATGGGGAATGTTGGCCAGCGCTGGCCCCAAACAGTGTGCTTCTAGCAAACTATGGTGTGCAATCGATGTATTGCGATTTAGGTGGCGCAATATTTGCTGTGCATTCCATGTCGTGCCTTCTATTTGGTGCAGTGTGTGGTGCAATCTATGACTTCCAATATATGTTTTGTAAGCTATGTCGTGCACTCTATGCGGTACAAACTATGACGATGACGACGGCGACGACGACGACGAACACGAAGACCTCGGCCGCGACGAGGGCGCCAAGGATGGCGATGAAACCCGCGACGGCGAAGAGGACGCTGACGAGGACGGGGCCCGAGGCAGCAGTGGCTGGAGCCCTGCATGGCACATCTCGTCAGCGTCCTGAAGGCAGCAGGCGATCGCCACCCCCCCCGCCTCCTCCCCACGTCGCCCCCACCGCGTTGGCACCGCGCGGGGAGCGAGGCATTCTGAAAGGAATGAGGGAGGGATGGATGGGGAGGCAGGCCGTGGTGGCAGGAGGGAGGATGCGTGGGAGGGGGCGGGAGGAAATGGGAGGAGGAGGAGGAGGAATAATAATAATAATAATGATAATAATAATAATAATGGTAATAATAATAAGAATAATAAGAATGCGAATAATTCTAATACTATAAAGAAGAATAGTAAAACATAATAATAAGACAAATAGTAATAATAATAATCATAATAGTAATACTAATATTAGTAATCATAATGGTATGAAGAAGAGAAGGAGAGGAGGAGGACGAGGAGGAGGAGGAGGAGGGGGAGGAAGAGGAGGAGAACCAGTGCAAACCCAAGACCCACCATCGATGTTACAGCTAGCCCTCCCTTCAAGTTTCCTCTTCATAGGTCCCTACAACAATGGAGGATGAGGAGGAGGAAGAGGACGACGATGATGATGATGATGATGATGATGATGATGAGGATGTTGAGGATGAGGATGAGGATGAGGATGAGGATGATGATGATGATGATGACGATGATGCTGATGATGATGATGATGACGAAGATGAGGATGCTGAGGATGATTATGCTGATGATGTTGATGATGATGCTGATGATGATGATGATGCTGATGATGATGATGATGATGATGATGCTGATGGTGATGATGACGATGATGATGATGATGCTGATGATGATG